ATAGCCCTGGCCCTGCAACATACCCAAAAGATGGTCGTCCAGCCTCCGCTTGAAAACGTCCAGCGAAGGAGCATCCACCACCTCCCGAGGCAGACTGTTCCACTGCTCAACCACTCTTACAGTTAGGAAGTTTCTCCTGATATTTAGCCGGTAACGACTCCCTTGTAATTTCCACCCATTAGATCTAATCTTGCATTCCGGAGCAAGAGAGAATAGATCTGCTCCATCTTCTACATGACAGCCCTTCAAATACTTGAAGACTGCAATCATGTCCCCTCTAAGCCTTCTCTTTCCCAGGCTAAACATACAACACGATTCCTGCTTATTTATGCTCTCGCACACACTCCCTTCACTATCTGAACAAAGAAACGTGACACTCGGTATATTTGAAAGTTTATATATCCTGCTTCGATAAGAATACATGTTCCCAGGCTGGCTTCTAACGATCAATAACTATCTAAATGAGCCAGTGGATCAAATCTGCTTGTGATCCACCCTGACCCTGCTCGCGGGGAGGGCGGAATGTAAATCAACAGAAATAAATAAATAAATCAAATTATCCAACTGCATTCCCGAAAAAGTCATAAAACTCAGAAACGCAGCAAGATCAGCTACAAGTTGTCCTAAGACTTAACAAAAGCAAAAAGAGGGGGGGTCCCGTTTGCATTTCAAAATCATATTTCTCTTTGAATACAGTTGACAAAAGTTAGGCGGTTAATTAGCTAACATTCTGTAACTGGTTGACAGTGAATCATTTTAGCCGTTTCTGGTTAGTCGTTGTCAAAGATTACAAAGGGAAGCCGATCCCTTTCGTATTTACGCAAGCATGTCAGCCCCTTCACCTGCAGGCAAAACTCACTTGCCAAAGGTAGCTCTTTGCAGCTCTGGCTTCAGTGTGCCAAGGGTGGGAGGACTACCAAGGGCAGCGGTAGGCAACTTTTTTGTACCAGGTGCCCCCAGGAACTCGCAGTGTCTACCTGTGGAAGGTGTTTGTGTGCCAGCCACGAAAAGCAAGGAGGAGAGCTTAGGGTTATTAGGGTTATACGTGTAATACCTTCTAGGCAGGACAAACAGATGCCCTGAATGCGGACACCCTGTTTAGCAGTATTCAGGCTCGGGAATGCAACTTGCTCCATGCCCTGTGGTGGGCATCTGGCTGGCTACTGCTGAAGCCATAGGTGAACTCTTGGTCTGATCCAGCGAGACTCTTCTTATGTTCTTAGGAGATGCCAGGAGGAAGCCCGTTTTCCCCCTCCATACAGCATGAAGTTGACCTATAGAATATCGCATGGGGAGATTATGGTTACCACTGGCATAACCGATCCTGAGAAACCAAAGCACAAGTTTGGAATGGTGGCTGATAGCGAACAAGACTCAAAGGCAGAACTAGCGAGGCAGGACCAGGTTGTCCCAGTTGGGCTGATAAAGGGTACATCAGCTCTCTCTCACGGACCCCTGTGTGCTGTTTGCTGGGCCGACGTGCCCCTCAAGATGGCCGCCGGTCCGGCCTAGCCAGGCAGCTGCCCCTCCCCTCCTGACACGCTTCCTCTCCTTCCCGTAGCGTCTCCTCATCCGCCATCCAGCCATGAAGTCCCTCACCCATCTCTCTTTCATTTATTTCTTTGGTTTGCTAGTTTCTTTCCTTCTCACCGTTTTGGAAAGGGGGATTGCCCACCTACGAGAAATAAACCGCTGGCCTGGGGAGGGAGAGGGGAATAGAGCCCGGTTTCTCCGTTGCGTCAGTTGCTGTTCCGAGCTCCCTCCTCCAACCTTTTGCGAGGCCTCCGTTGACGCTGCTTGCAAGATGTCTGAGTAGTGAAAGCCCCCCTCCCCCCGGTTCTGCTTCCCCTTTTTGCTGTTGTGGCCTTGATTCAACAGGACGGTACAGCTATGGTTGCGCTCAGTTTCTCATGCCTCTCCTCGTTATCTCTCTCTCTCTCTCTTGCTCGTTTTTAACAGAGACAGTCCGAGCTATGACCCACGTCATCAACCAGGGAATGGCCATGTACTGGGGGACGTCACGCTGGTTTTTGGTGTTGTGGCCTTGGTTCAACAGGACGGTACAGATGTGGTTGCGCTCAGTTCTCATGCCTCTCCTCGTTATCCCTCTCTCTCTCTCTTGCTCGTTTTTAACAGAGACGGTCCGAGCGATGACCCACGTCATCAACCAGGGAATGGCCATGTACTGGGGGACATCACGCTGGAGCTCGATGGAGATTATGGTACGGCCGGAAATGGGCCGCAGGCGACAGTTTCCTCCTTGTCTCCCGTGCGTGCACCGACTTTTGGGAGGAAGTGCTCCTGGCTGCCAACGCTGGGCCTGGGCCTTTGGCAAGGCCGGCACTGCTCTCTCTCCACCTGTCTGTTCAGGGGGCTGGAGGCGAACACTTCTTAGCACTGCAAGCAGACCACAGTGGTCAAATCCCCATGTGGTACTTGCAGGGGTCTTTTACCTTAATTCGGAGGAGGGCTGGCATGGCACAGGTGAGTTCCCGGGGGGCGGGGGATGAGAAAATAGCCTTTGAGTATGGTGCGAGCTCGCCTCATTCTGAGAACAGCAGCTTGGAGTGGGCAGGAAGGGGGGCAAAGAGGGGAAACTGCTCTGGGAACCCACTAGGCGGGAGACCTCCCAGGCGTATTGGTTCCCATAGCCTAAGGTAAGTGGACAAACCAAGACGGAGTCTATCTGACCAAAACTTCATCTCTGACCTTTCAGGAAGCACCTTATACAGTCAAATCAGAAGGCTATGTGCCTGTTGAATGAGTTTATGATATCTACATACACAAATAGGAGGAGGAGAAAATATTTATGCACATGATAGAAGAACAAATCAAATCTCACAATTTTCTTAGTACAAAGTATAACAGACATATTAGGCTATGTGCCTGTTGAATGAGTTTATGATATCTACATACACAGATAGGAGGAGGAGAAAATATTTATGCCCATGATAGAAGAACAAATCAAATCTCACAGTTCTCTTAGTACAAAGTATAACAGACATATTCAAGCCCAGATTGTCCACTGGCTTTCAAGCAGATGATCTTAGCCTCCGCAGACCTCAGGAGTACAGTTTTGATGGTCATTTGTGGATTTGTCAGCATTAACTGTTAAATATTAACATTATGCTAAACTGAACAGGTAGATTCGAGTCCATTGGCACCATAGAGAACAAGATTTGGAGGGGGGGGTAAGAGCTTTTGATGGCCGTGGTGGCTCAAGTGGTTAAGATGCTGAGCTGCAGACCAGAAGGTCTGTAGTTCGGCAGTTCGAGACCCGAGTGCCACGTGACAGAGTGAGCTCCCATCTCTGGCCCCAGCTCCTGCCCAACCTAGCAGTTCGAAAGCAAGAAATTGCAAGTAGATAAATAGGTACCGCTTAGGTGGGAAGGTAACAGCATTCCGTGCACCTCGTCGACTAGTCATGCCGGCCACATGACCACGGAAACGTCTTCGGACAGCGCTGGCTCTTCGGCTTGGGAACGGAGATGAGCACCGCATCCCTAGAATTGGATTCGACTGGCTTTCGAGCAAGGGAAACCTTTACCTTTAAGAGCTGTTGAGAGTCGAAGCTCCCTTCGTCAGATACTTTGCTCTCGAAAGTTCTCACCCCACCACCACCACCAAATCTTGTTCTCTCAGGTGTTACTGGACTCGGATCTAGCGGTTCTGCCGCCAGCCAACACAGCAGCCCTCTGAAACTGTACTAAACGGAATAGTAATAAATAATTGTGTGCTGTCAAGTGGCAACCCACTCGTGACGACCCCAACCATGCAGTTTCCAAGGCAAGAGAGGAGCAGAGGTGCTTTGCTTTGGCCTGCCTCTGCAGAGCGACCCTGGACTCCCTTGGTGGTCTCCCATCCAGGTACTAACCAGGGCTGACTCTGCTGAGCTTCCAAGGTCTGATGAGATCAGGCTCGTCTGGGCCACGCAGATCAAGGCAGGGGGGAAAAGCTAAAAATAAAAAAGCTAGATGTTTATTTCATATTACTGGGCACCCAAAATGGTTATCGTGCATCACAGCAACCAGAAATCGCAATCGGAAATAAATTAAGAACCTAAAACAGCTCCCGATGGATTTGCGACATTTGTCTCCCCAGGAAGCTTATTCAGTGGCCCGGCAATTTAACCTCATCCCGCCCATCTGTGAGCAGGCTGAGTACCACATGTTCCAGAGGGAGAAGGTAGAGGTGCAGCTGCCAGAGCTTTTCCACAAGATTGGTAAGCGCTCGCATACAGCTCCCGGCACGGTCGCGTCACTCACCAAATACGGCTGCCTTCTCATGGGGCTGGGGAGAAGGGAGCAGGTGGTAGGTGGATGTTGCAATGTCAAAGAGGCTACTTGCCTTTCCCAGGAGAGTTCCTTTCTTTTGCATGAACACTTCATCTTAGAAAGAGTAAGGCATGAGTCAGCAGTGTGATGCAGCAGCTAAAAAGGCAAATGCAATTTTGGGCTGTGTCAACAGAAGTATAGTGTCCGGATCATGTGAAGTGATGGTATCGCTTTACTCTGCTCTGGTTAGACCTCACCTAGAGTACTGTGTTCAGTTTTAGGCACCACAATTTAAGGAGAATATAGACAAGCGGGAACGTGTCCAGAGGAGGGCAATGAAGATGGCGAGGGTTCTGGAAACCCAAGTCCTATGAGGAGGGGGTTGAAGGAGCTAGGTATGTTTAGCCCGGAGAGGAGATGACTGAGAGGTGATATGATAACCACTGATAAGCACTAGGAAGAACTTCCTGACAGAGCAGTTCCTCAGTGGAACAGGCTTCCTTGGGAGGTGGTGGGCTCTCCTTTGGAGGTTTTCAAACAGAGGCTAGGTAAAGTTTAAAATTAGCTCTCCCATTCAACTCTGTGTACTCTATGATTCTGTGATTCTAAGGCATGCTCCACACTAAATGCCAAACGGGACAAGATTACGAGAATTCTGCGACTGCAGCGCTTGAGGTTTTTTGTTTTGTCCTCAGGGGTTTTTTTGTAGAAAAAGCCCAGCAGGAACTCATTAGCATAATAGGCCACACCCAACAGCAGAAATCCATTAGCATATTAGGCCACAACCCCATGTTACCAGAAGTGAGGTCATCCAGCCACACCCACCTTTTGCTCCTTATTCTGTTTACCTTGTTTGTTGTAAAAACCCAGGGCTTTTTTTGTAGCAGGAACTCCTTTGCATTTTAGGCCACACATCTCTAATGCAGCCAATCCTAATGAGTGTCTGCTGTTGGGCGTGGCCTGTTATGCTAATGAGTTCCTGCTGGGCGTGGCCAACTCAGGAGCCAGCCGGAACTCCGTTCCTGTGCGTTCCTGCCCAAAAATAGCCCTGTTTGTCCTTAATGCTGTTATCAGGCACACGGAGGCCTGATTCTGATCAGAGCGTACATGTATGCACACATGCTCAATCCCTGCCATTATCTTGCTATGGCCAGATTCTCTGTGCCCAGTTTGGTGTAGTGGTTAGGAGCGCAGTCTCGAATCTGAGAGAACCAGGTTTGATTTCCCACTCCTCCACATGCACCTGCTGGCATGATCTTGGGTCAGTTACAAGTTCTTTCAGAGCTCTTCTCTTACGAGCAGTTCTCAGAAGAGCTCCGTCAGCCCCAACTACCTCTCAGGGTGTCTGTTGTGGGGAGGGGAAGGGAAAGGAGGTTGTAAGCTGCTCTGAGACTCCTTCAGGTAGTGAAGGGTGGGGTATAAATCCAGTTTCTTTTCCTTCTTCTTCTTCTTCATCATCTTCTCTCTCCCTTTCGGTCGTCAGGAGTGGGTGCCATGACATGGTCCCCATTAGCATGCGGCATCGTCTCGGGGAAATACGACGGTGGGATCCCGCCCTACTCGCGAGCCTCTCTCAAAGTGAGTAGCTGTTTCTCTCGACCTGCTGGCCACTGGCTGTGTGGCCAAGCCCTGCCTCCCACGAGCCCCATCCCCGCCCTCCGTTGCAGGTCTAACCCCTTCCCCTATCTCCCCAGGGGTATCAGTGGCTGAAAGACAAAATCCTGAGTGAAGAAGGGAGACGGCAGCAAGCCAAGCTGAAGGAACTGCAAGCCATCGCGGAGCGCCTGGGCTGCACCCTGCCCCAGCTTGCCATCGGTAAGCGGAATCTGCTCCCCACCTCAGGGGTGCGCTCAGCACCACGCCAGGATTTATCCTGGGAGGAAAGGTCCCTCCCCGGCTGCCCCTTGACGATGCAAGAATCACGTTGCAGGGCCAAGACGCATCTAGTCTGAGGGCTTCCGGACGAGGCTGGGAAGCTGTTATTTAAGAGGGCATTCGGGAGCTTTTAAGGGCCTAAGGCAGGGCCCGTAGCTACAGCGGGGCCTCTCGGGGCCTGGCGCCCCCCAGCTTACCGCCAAGGCCCCCTGACTCCCCATCCAGCCCCCCTGCCACCTGGCTGGCTGCAGGGGAGGGCAGGAGCAGGGCTGCTCGCTCAGGGGGGGTGTTCCAGGGCGCCCCCTGACTTATTTAGAGGCCCCCTGAATTAAAAAAAATCCTGGCCCAAGGCCAGCCCTGTGCAAGCAGGTCTTTGAAGCTGAGCAGAGTTGGCCGTGGTTTGTACTTGGGTGGGAGATCGCCAGGGAAGTCCAGAGTCAGTATGCCGCGGCAGGCACCTTTGAACGTCGCTTGCCTTGAAAACCCTACAGGGTCTCCGTAAGTCGGCCGCGACTTGAGGGCACTTTCCGCCACCAGGTTTCAAAACGTTTTCCCTGAACTGGCTTCAGTTGCTGCTTCTGCTGCATTTTTTAAAGCATGTCTGTTCTTTATAAGTGCAGCATTCTCTGCCTCAGGCCTGAGTCGATTGGGCCGAAAGGGGAACCAGACCTGTAAATATTCCAAACAAATTAAATGGTCTGATCTGCAATTTGCAAAGGAGGCCAGTCAGACACTTCTCGGAGGTTTGGTAACGAGGCCCAAAAGCAACGGCCCTCCTGTGTCTTGTGTGCCCCCCCCCCCCCCGCCGCTGTGGTACGTGGTAGTTTGCTGGTTTTCCTGGCTGACGGGGGCTGATGGGTCTTTCCTCTGTGAATGTGACTACCCCCTTTTTAAAAAAGCCCTTTAAGCTAGTGGCTATCATCTTGTTTTGTGGCAGCAAATTTTGTAAATTAAAGTAAATTAGCTATTCTGTGAAGTAGAAAAAAGTAGCTGGTCCCAAATTGACAGTCAGTTCCCCCGAGTCCTGCTGTGTTGCATGCAAGAGGGGAAGATGTGTGCATGTGTGCCCCTCGTGTGCATGTATGCCCTCTGCCCTGCCCCCAGTTTGGTTGCCTTTCCTCCGAATGAAAAACACCTTTTCCTTTGAGGAAAGACGTTGCACTTTGGCGCTGTCTCTACCAGAGTATCTGACAAACTGAACTCTGACTCACAAAATCGGGCAAACTGTAGTTGATCTTTAAGGTCCTTCCTACTGGACTTGCATGTTCTTCTGCTGCTGTAGACTGAGCCAGCGACCCAGCTGAAACAATCCGTCCAAATAATTACTTTGATTTCCCTCTCAGCCTGGTGTTTGAGGAACGAAGGGGTCAGCTCAGTTCTGCTGGGGGCTTCCAATGCAGACCAGCTAATGGAGAATATTGGAGCAATACAGGTGAGTCCTGTAAGCCTACACACACACACACACTGCTGGCCACACAAGATAAAGACACAAGAATTTCCCCTGCCTTGTGCAGGGCAGGGAACCTAGGGAGGGTACTTGTTTGAGGTATACAAAGGGAGGCTCAAGGAGATAAGCAAGGGAGGGGCCGTGGCTCAGCGGCAGAGCGTCTGCTTGGCATGCAGAAGGTCCCAGGATTGATCCCCGGCAGGGCTATTTTGGGGCAGGAACGCACAGGAACGGAGTTCCGGCTGGCTCCCAAGTTGGCCACACCCAGCAGGAACTCATTAGCATAGCAGGCCACACCCAACAGCAGAAACTCATTAGGATTGGCTACATTAGGGGTGTGTGGCCTAACATGCAAAGGAGTTCCTGCTACAAAAAAGGCCCTGGGTTTTGACAACAAACAAGGTCAACAGAATAACAAGCAAAAGGTGGGTGTGGCTGGATGACCACACTTCTGGTAACGTGGGGGTGCGGCCTAATGTGCTAATGAGCTGTGCTGTCAGGGGTGTGGCCTATTATGCTAATGAGTTCCTGCTGGGCTTTTTCTACAAAAAGAGCCCTGAGTCCCGGCATCTCCAGTGAAAAGGACCAGGGGGAGCAGGTGATGGGAAAGACTGCTGCCTGAGATCACAAAGAGCCGCTGCCAGTATGAGGAGACCATTCTGACCTTGATGGACCCAGGGTCTGATTCAGTCTAAGGCAGCTTCCTGTGCTCATGAGTCCACACCAGGTTATCCCTCAAGACCAATCTTTAGCTCCAGCTATTTCACTGATTCTACACACCGGTTCTAAACACCTGTTCATGACTGTAGCAGGAAGCTGGGGTTGCCCTTGAAATTGACCCAGAGACTTCAGTTGGTTCAAAACGCAGCGGTGCGTGTCCTTACCAGGACCCCTCAAACAGCACATGTACAACCAGTGCACCATCGGCTGCGTTGGCTTCCAACGGAATACTGGGTCAAGTTCCAGGTTATGGTGTTAACCTTTAAAGCCCTGTGCGGTCTGGAACCCACATATCTACATGATCGTCTCTCCCAGTATGTCCCTCGAAGAGCTCTACGCTCTGCAGGTCAACGTCTGCTGGTGGTCCCCAGCCCAAAGGACGTTCGCTTAGCCTCAACCAGAGCCTTTTTGGATCCGGATCCGGCCTGGGGGAACGCTCTCCCAAGGGAGATCAGGGCCCTGTGGGACTTCCTCCAGCTCCACAGGGTCTGCCAAATGGAGATGTTCTGCCAGGCCTACGGTTGAGGCGGTGGGTGTCTACGACCTCAGCCTCCCCTGCTCCGCCTAGTGCGAACTACTTGTCGCGGCTAGCCCCTTAGCTCAGGATTTGTTTTACACGGAGCACCCATACAGATAGTTCTCAGAGATCTATCAATTGTGTTTGATCGCCATCTTGTTTGCTGTAGCTTTCATTAATTGTATCATTGTTTATCATTACTGTTGTAATCCACCCTCAGCGCTGCTGAGCAGGGGGAGGGCAGACTAGAAAGCCAATAAAACAAACAAATAAATAAGAACGGCGACTGCCGCTATGAGGCTCCTGGTCCCAGGCTGGTCAGACCTCAGGGGAGGCCTCTGGGTCAGCGGGTTCTGGATCCTGCGGTGAACAAACAGAGAGTTCCAGGCAGAGATCCTTTACATGAAAGGAAGTTTCATGGAAAATGTTTATCTCACTCACACTTCTCCTTCACCCAAGGGTTAAGGTTGCCAGGTCCCTTACCTCTTTGGCATGAGGGGGGGTTGGTCCCAGTCCGGAACCCCGCCCCCAAAGTGCATATGGCCGGTGGACGCTCTAGCATTCAGCTTGAAAACTCTATGATACCATAGAGTTTTCAAGTCGAATGCCAGAGCGTCCCCCCAGTGACGTGCCCAGCGCGATGACGTCATCTCCGGGTGACATCATCATGCTGGGCACGTCAGCTGGATTTGGGGACTTTGGGGGCGGGTTCCCCCTGCCAGCCGGATCTGGGCCGACGGATCGGGGGCCCTTTGAGTGGGCAGACCTCCACCCCTCGTGGGGACCTGGCAGCCCTACCAAGGGTTGGCCAGACTTCTTAGCACCACGGAAGCGCTACTGGGCAGGTTGGCTGTGCCAGCTGCTCGATAGCAAGGAAGCTGTTTACAGTAAAACAGCCGTGTGTGCGGCAACCGGGGGAGGCTGTAGTAGTCTTTAGCAAAGATCCACCGAAACAGCAAAGCCACCCAACTCGGTTTTCTCTTCTTCTTTTTTTGTCTCCACCCAACAGGTTCTTCCCAAACTGTCCTCTTCCATTATCCACGAGATCGACAGTATTTTGGGCAATAAACCCTACAGCAAAAAGGACTACCGATCATAATCGGGGAATCCCGTCCACCTGGACTTTTTCCTCCCAAACTCCTCGCCTCTCCCGTTTGCTTGCTTAAAGCTTTATCGAAGCCGAGTGAAGAGTACGGTTCGCGTCCAAGAAACTACAGCAAGCCCCAAGACGGTCCAGCGAAACCGTTTTCGAAACGTCACATGAGACAACCATAGGCTTCTTCAACTTAACTTCTAATATTTTTTAATGCAAGAAACGCAGGTGGGGAAAGGCCATGAAGGGACTTGAAGTTGAGCCCAGCTTCCTTTTGAAAGGAAAAACAACTCTGATCTTTCTCTCTTTCTTGCTTTCTCTCTCTCTCTCTCTTTCTCCCCCCCCCCCTTGGCTGCTCTTTTCATCCAACAAAGATGCGCACACACAGAGAGAGGATGTTGCAGGGTTTAAGGCACCAAGCGCTTTCTTCCTGCAGTTTGACTAGTCAGACCCAGTTCCTTCCTACTTTATTTTTATTTTATTTTCAGCTGGGCAGACTTAAAGCAATGGTCAAGTAAAACATTCATGCCCCAGCAGTCTGACTAGAAGACCTCCAAGGAACGTACGCGCCTTGGGTGGCCTTCCAAGCATGCTAGAAACAGTTTCTGGGGGGTGACGGCACACCTCCTCCGCAACCCTGTCCCTCTTCTTTGATTCCAATTTTGTTTTTATCACTGAGATGGAGTCAAAGTGAATCAGCCAAGACCGCTGGTGAGTAGCCGTGGGAAGTTGCGATCCACAAAGTTCCCACGGACTGCGCCACGGGGCAGCCTATCGATCCCTGAGCAAAACAGTTTGTGCTTTATCTAGTGCCTAAGCCTGGCCTTCTGTTGGGGCCGGGCACAGCAACCAAGTGGACCCGGCGTGTGCTTGACCGCTGCCGTGGCAGAGTGCTGTCTTCCTCAGCCAGACGGGTGCTGAAGCAGAAGGCCAGCGGTGGAGCTGAGATGGAGAGATCGGACAGGCCGAGGGTACAGACCTGAGTGTGGCTGGCTGGCTGGGGAGGGTGCCACTCAGCAGCCCACCCTTGGTCCCCAACCCCCTCTGCCAGGACAGGCCCCCCCGCCACCCGCCTTTTCCTGAGCCCCCTTGGTCCTGTCCAGTTCACGTCCCCCACAAATCACTCCACGGCCTGTGCTTTTGAGACGGGCTCAAGAGCCAGGACCAGTGTCCTTTGAAGCCAGACCTTCCCCCACGCGTTCAGTCTAAGGCTCGAGAGAGATGCCCTCCCTCTCCCCCACTGAAGCCTTGGCGCCAGCCGAGTGGTGAGATGACTGTAGCGACATCCTCAGAGGCTTCTGTTCAGGCCGTTCTCTGAGGAAAGAGCCACATCAGTTCAGTCAGACATGCCCAGGCCCCAGGGAGAGCCACACCGGGGTGGGAAGGGAGCAGGCCGTCCGCCTGCATCGTGTCTGTCTCGCTCGAGGTAGCGTTGAAGCTGCAGAGGGAGCCATCGCGGAAAGCCAGGCAGCTCCTCTCCCGGAGCAGGTATCGCATGGAACGTGCCTTAGTTGGAAACCAGACAGGACTTTCCTCTGGGAAGGGAGGAATTCAACCCCACCCTGAAATTAGTTCTGGTCTGAAGTGTTGCATCTTGTCCAGCGTGTGTGTGTGTGCGCGTGTGTTGACTTGTAGCAACCAAACTATTGCAAGTAATAACGAATGGGGAAGGGAGCCCCGATCCCTTTGTTTTTGGCAGCCTGAAAAGTAAGAGGATGCCTGCACTCCTCGTCGCCGCAGATTTCATGCCTTTCCGCCTGTCTCCCAGCCCAGCCTCCCTAGCAATTGCACTTCTAGGGCCCGGCCGACACACCATGCGGCAGCAAACCCAGGCTTGCCCTGAGAACTGTGCTCCACAGACTTGCGTTTGCCCACTTTCTCACGTAAATGCTTTTTAAATGGCGCACCTCCAAAGTCTTCAGCAGGTCTGAACGCGGACGTGCAAAGCCACCCACAATCCCATGCAAGGGCTTCTGCAGACTGCCGGCTTCACCATCGGTTTTTCAGAGGCAGAGCGAACAAGGGAGTGCCGCTTGTGACCGGCACCGAGGTCCTCCTCCTTCCTCTTCTGCTTAAAAGAAACAAACCAGTTTAGCAGGCTTTTGTTTCACAAAACCTGCCAGATCTGTTTGACCTAAGATGGCAAAAGCAATGCACCATGGGAAACGATACCTCTCTCAATCAGTTTTTTAAACTCCCTCGCAAACCATGGTTCCATTATTAGCAGGGGTGAGTTTTGTATTCCCTGCGATGCTCTGATTCCACCCGTGAATGAAAAGAGCCTTGCCACCTTTCTTGCCATTGCTATGGGCATTGCGCTTTCTGAGCAATTTGTGTTTACCTCCCCTGACAGTCGTGGGCATCCCTTGTTTTATTCCTCCCCCCGTTGCCATCGTGTCGGTGGGCCCTTTATAGAATGGCCACTTCTTCATGCGAGTGTAAAGGTGTGAGTTGGATGGTCAACCAACAGGCAAATCAGACAAGATTCTCAGAGTTCCTTATCCAGGGCATCCAACATTTTTTAAAATTTCAATCCCCAGACGTAGGGGACGGGTCAGATCACATTTCAGGACTGCAGCGTTGGGGGGGGGGGGTGTTAAGCCTTCCTCTCAACACCATTTTCCTTCCCTGAAACAGTCCCAGGAAGGCACTCTTGGCTCGTGGGGGGGGACAGGACAACATAGGCATACTAATATAGCTCATAGGGGCAAATAGCAGCTTTCTGGGGGCATATCAGGTTGGATATGTGGGTGTGGGGGGTGTAAGCCCCCTCTCCCTTTGTGCCATGGACCTGATTTGAATTGGGACCCCAGGAACTTGACAATTGGGTTTTGAAAAATGCCCAGGATCTCCATGCAAGGAACGTACAGTGTCGTATGCAGTTTGCCCCAAGTCTTAGTTCTCTCTCATTGTCCTCTCCCTGAATTCACATGCGCACACCCCAGCCCTGCCACTGGCCTCCCGTTCTTTCTGAGGGTTTCTTCACGTGCTTACTCGCAGTGTGTCAAACCAGTGGCCGAGTCCCGAAGCAAGTGCCCGATGCTGTGTCCTTGGCTGTTTCTGTAGGGTTGGTTTGTCTTGTCCATTTTCCTTGTTTTCCTTTTGGAGGACAATCACAGTGCAGCCGCCGGCTGCAGCCCCTCGAGGGGGCAGAACCCGGCGGCCTGATCCTGATACTCGGGAGCCGTTTTTGAAGCGCTGGGCCGGTTCTGAGTACAAAGCAGGTTCCTCGTGGCTTCTGTAAATAAGGTGACTGAGCCGCAGAGGCCAGTGTTATTTTTTTAGAAATGTTTTTTGTCGTTGTGGATGAGAACTATTTTTGTATGTGTCTTCCCCGCCTTCTCTTTGCATTGGTTCCCAGTGAGGAGGTTCTGTTGGCCTCCATTGAATGCACACACACACCTTTCGACCCCTCCACCACCCCGGTCCAAAGGAATAGCCCCTTCATTTTTTCCTTAGCAGCCCCTCAAAGGAAGATTGCCTTTCACCAAGTGGGCAGCAAGGAATGCTCTGCCCATGTCTGAGAAATGGCCCCCTCAAGTCTTCCTAAACAGGGAAGATGATCTGGAACGCCTTGTCATAATTCAAGGCTGGAGACAGACAGACAGACCGTCCTTTTCAAGAGCACTTTGAAGGAGGCATCACGTCCCATCACGTAGATACGCAATTTTTTTCCATCTTTCTTGTTGTCTCTACTTCAACAGGTTTAGCAGGATTGAAAGGACACATGCAAAAACCTGCCTAACCTATTGACCAGAGGCAAAAGTGGCACCAAATTGCACATCCTTCCAAGGAACTCTCTTGCAAGAGGCTTTTGGCTTTCTAAACCAAACAACCTTTCTTGTTGTCAACCCATTAATGCCCTTGTGCCTCCCCGCTATACACACAGAGTGCTAAGAAGATGGATCCCCACCCCACGCGTGTAGTTCTATAGTAGTAAGCTGCAACTACTACAACAGAATGAGGGTAATGGCTGGCGAGAGCAGGGGACCGAGAAACCGGGAGACCCACTTTCAAATCCCCCACTTGGTCAGGAAGCTCGCTGGGTGACAGCAGGACCATCATTCTGTCCCAGTCTAGCCTACTTCACAAGACTGTTGTGAGGGTAAAATGAAAAAGAGAATGGGGTGGTTTGCCTTGCACTCCTTGAAAAGTGGGGTGATGTGATAAAGGAAGGGGAAAGGTTCCTGCTCCTAGCAAGGCAACCATTTTGTTCTGGGACCCCAGCAGTAACCCACACATCTTCATTTCCCCACCATTTAGGTAGAGTCGGCTGTGCCGGTGCCGTTTTGCACAGCTGCAAGTGCAAGTCAGAGACCCTGCCCTGAGATGTCCAGAATCAAAGGGTGATTCTCCAGCCAAGGTTAAGTACCAGTGCTGTAGCCGTTCATTCCAATGGGAGAGAAAAAACTGTGTGCATACATCAATTTATTAAAGCTTCTTAAACATTAAACACGTATCGTACATACATTATATAATTTACAATTAACGGTGATAGTGCAGTGAAGATCTTTTTAAATCAAGATGGGGTGCCGGACGCTTATTTGTTCACTTCATTGATATCCCTCTTTTCTCCCGAAAGTGGCTTAACATTGTTATGCTCTTCTCCACTTTATCCGCACAACAACCGTAGAAGGTAGATTAGGCTAAGAGTGCATGACTGGCCCAAGTTCACTCAGCAAGCTTCTACGGCAGAGTGGGGATTTCGACCTGGATCTTCCCGATCTTAGTCTGTCATTCTGAACACTACACCATGCTGGCCGTCTTCCCCTTCCAGTTTCCATGACACCCTTTCATTCTTGGGCAGCTCTCCTTGCCATGAATCTAAGAAGTAAACTCTTACGCATCGACACTCAGTTCCCAGTGTTAATATCATAGCCGAGGGATACCTGAAGATTTCCGTAGTTTTTCCAAGGGCAAGCCTAATGAAACTCATTCCGTGAGACCAGCTCTTTTCAGCAAGCAGGACGTGCTCTGGTTTCATAGCATATGAACCACCTGGTTTTTTAAAAAATAAATGTTACGGCAGAATCCACACACCCACCTCAAGTTAACCGCTTGAATTACCTATGTCCAAAACTACTTAGCCAACACTGTTCAACACTGCCGTACCCATATGTCTGACATTTTCTCACAGTGTGATGTATCAGACTAGGATGGGGGGGGGGGCGAGACCCAGGTTTAAATCCCCACTCTGCTGTGGAAGCTCACTGGGTGACTTTGGGCCAGCTATACATTGTCAGCTAACTTAACTTACTTCACGGGGCTGATGTGAGGATTAAATGGGGAAAGGGAACCATGTATGTCACTTGGAGGAGGGGTTTAAAACATCCTAGAGAGATAGAACAGCCAGCGTCTGGTGAAGCGTAGCTCTAAAAGATGAGCCGGTCTTATTGCTGTCTTCCTGGTGGCAGCGCCTCCAGTGGGAGAGATTTATGCAGGTGCTGAACTAGCGCCCCCACTGAGACCAGGATATGCTGCCCTTTAGCCAGAGGGGTAGAAGAATCCTGTACCCACACGTGGGAAGCAGCAGTGCCTCTTCCAAACTGCTTTCAAAGCTCCCAGCGAGAACAACAACAACAACAAAAATGTTCTCTGTCTCCAGCCTCAAAAGCCTCCCCCAATTTGGGTTCCACAGTGCAGTCCCAGGACAATGAAGACAACTGCCAACTCACACACACACACACACACACATGAGTCATGGAAACCAGTTACTGCCCTCTTAGTCATAAGCCTGCTACAGCCCAGCACGGTCCCTTTGCACACTGGAGGACAGCAGACTTCTTGCTGAGGGATATCTTTCTCGTCTTGAAAGGCATTCAGTAGAAACCCCCCCCTGCAAAAAAAACTTTCTCCCCCCTCCCCACTACCTGCTTGTCACCTGTGTTAGCTGCTTTGTCAATTACATTCAGGGAGCCGACCGAGCATAGAAATGCCGCTGCAGCCAGGGGGGAAATCTGTCAATATGCCACGGTGAATGTTCTGGTGTCTTTCTGTTGGATTCCATGTGTGTAAATAAAAATGCTTCATATATATGTATGTATGTATGTATATACACACACACACATATATATATATATTCTAAACACCTCTCTAGAGATGACGTAGATGACTGTGAGTACTGAGCTAACCGCGTAACCTTCTAGGGCAAAGGCTGCTGGCCCCAATCAATCATGCTTCTGAATGAAGATTTGGACCGATAAAGACAGCGTCTGTATTTACGGAATGAACAAATAAAATAATCGAGCCTTATTGGTCTGTAGCAAAACGCTCCAGTGACTTGCTCTCTCTGTTCAGTTCCAATTATATACGCTTCTGTTTGCATCTAGAAAACTGGCCTCTCGTCCATGCAAGCTTGTGCTGGAATAAAGTGCTGTTACTCTGTAAGGAGCAACAGGACTCACAGAAGGGGGTCGTGCATTAGTGGTAGAGCATCTGCTCGGTATGCAGAAGGTCCCAAGTTCAATCCCCGGCATCTCCAGTTCAAAAAGATCAAATACAAGGTGACGTGAAAGAGCTCCATCTGGGACCCTGGAGAGCTGCTGCCAGTCTGAGTAGACAATGCTGACTATGATAGACCAAGGGCCTGGTTCAGTAGGAAGCAGCTGCATGTATTTATTTTGCTGAAGCTTTAAGTCTCCTCGGGGAAGTCAGGATGGGTTGTGCTTCATGGGGGGGAAAGGGGGTTGTGCTTTATGGGGGGGAATGGGTTTTGAGGAGAGGTTTCAAGGAAGCGAGAGGCGGAGTCATGTGGGTGTTCTGTGACACAATGCCAGGCATGGAGGGCGGGGGGGAGAGCAGAGAGCCAAATCCAGTGAAGCAGGAAACCTTCAGAAGAGCAGGAGGACTGAAACAGGCAGGGAAAGATGATGGGATGGCGGCATACAAGGTCACAGAGTGGTGGGTAAAGATAAGAAATTGGTAGATGCTGCAGGGGACAGGATCCGGGGGGGGGCGTGATTCAGTACCAGCAATGAACTGGGCAAACAAGTTTGATAGCAGAGTTCTGGATAGAGGTGAGGATGCTGAGATGTGGCAATGGAAGGCCAGTGAGGAAGAGGCTGGCAATAGTTCAGTCTGGAGATGACGGGGGCATGACCCAGAGTTTTGGCTGAAAAGAGGCACATTTTCAAAATGCTGTCTGTGTTGAGAAGGAATATAACTTGGTGACGGATTGAATACAGGCAGCAAAAGAAAGAAGAAAGAAACGTTCCTCTGAAGGGATGTGAGGAACGGGCAAGGAGAGGAAAGCTCTTGTGAGGTCAGCGGAAGGTGGAAGGCTGGATGGCAGAGCAAGGTGTCTGTACCTCAGGATTTGGTAATAAGGGGACTGAGTCTGTGATTTTATGGGAAACTGTTTCAGTGGGGGGCACAGGGCGGGTCAGAAAGGCCGAAGACATCCACAGACCTCTTGTTTTTCTTTATTTGCCCGTCAGGCCAGATTAAAGCCTCTTCCTTCTTGCCCCTTTTGATGCTAGAAGTCTGACGGAAACCCTGAGAAGAACTGAGCCACTCTCTCCTTGGATTCCTTTTCAAAATGATTTATTAAAACA